CTAAACCCCTATAATCCTAAACCCCCCAAATCCTTAAATCCTGAAACCCTAAACCCCTTAATAACCCCAACTCTCCTACTTCTTGCGATTTCTGTGCACTGCAGCTCCTAGCTCCGAATCCAGCAAAGCCTCAAAGAGCGCCTTTGTAGAAGTGGGGGGTTTGCCCCTGAGGTTTTTGTTTGTAAGGCTTTGGGGTGTAGGGCGTTAGGGCGTTCGGGCGTTAGGGTTGTAGGGTTTAGGGTTGTAGGGTTGTAGGGCTTTAGGGTTTAGGGTTTTAGGGCTTTTAGGGTTTAGGGCTTTAGGGCGGTAAGGTTGTAGGGTTTTTCGGGTTGTGGGGTTGTAGGGTTTGGGGCTTTTAGGGCTTTAGGAGGGGCTGGGAGCTGGAGGTTTCGGGTGTTGGGCTAAGGGCGTTGGGGTTTAGGCTTGTCTTCCACTGCACGGCCACTGAAAGCAATCAGCCACCCTCGACTTTGAACCCTAAACCCTAAACCGCAAACCCCAAAGCCTAAACCCAAAGCCGTAAACCCTAAACCGCAAACCCCACACCCTAAACCCAAAGCCGTATACCCTAAACCCTAAACCCCAAAGCCTAAATCCGAAATCGAGACCCCAAGCCCAGGCACCCATCACTCCCATGCTGCTATTTTGTAAACTTCCGCAGACCGCCATGCTGCAAGGTCCCATGGTCGAGGTTGTTCTTGATTTGGGTTCCCTGTGAGGTCTTACGTTGCGTGCCTGGGATTGAGGGCTTTGGGTTCAGGGGTTAATATAGGGGCCTTAACAATCAGAATAAGACTTTGGGCTCCTTTGTAGACAAATTATAGCAAGAAACCCTAAGGAATAATGTAAATATTATTTGGGCTTCGGCATTACTTCCGAAGAGCCTCCCTCAAAGGTCCCAATTCAAATCTCTGCGTCCCTAGCCCTTATTAGAGCTCTCCGGTCTATTTTGGGTTTACATAGGGCTTCATCGAACTGCAGCCTGAAGCCCTGAAACCCCCAAAGCCTAGAACTCTAAACCCTGAGGACAGCCTCCCATCTGACCCTTGCACCGAAACGTGGCACTTATTCACGAGCTTGAAACGGGACATCTCATTTCCTCTGCTGGATCCGCTCGAACCAGAGAGCATGAGATGCAGTTGCTTGCCGGTGCTTAAGCAAGAGCGGAGAAAGGAATAAAAGGACTACTGCAAGGTATGAGGTAGGGCAAGGCATACTATGGGATACACTCTCCCACTCGCCCTTAAGCACCAGTAAGGTTAAAAAGATAGCGATGAGCATGATTCGCCCACAGGAAGGAGCCGGAGTGCAGTGATTTTGCACAATTTCCCGGCACATGCCATGCTCAGCAGGGTAATTCTTTATGATTGAAAATTTATCATGGATGCCAATCCTTCCCCAGTCTCTGTACTGCCAGTGATGAAGCCCTTACCACGGTTTTCCTATGAACTCAGAAACTCTCCTCAGTCACCTCAGCTCCCTATGATTGCCAGACAGCCATGCTTCGCATCTGTCCTGCAGCATGGTTAGGTTTTGGCATGAGGGAATACCTTAACCCCAAATAAGCCAAACAACCTAACTTTTTGAGGACTTACGCATGTGTAAGGAAATGATACAACGGGCCCTAAGAAGGTAGGTTTCACAGGGTTCAGGTAAGGTTTAGGGGTTCAGAAGCAAGGACCTCGCACAGCCTGCACTCGACACGACTCGCGGGAACCTCCTTCTTCTGCAGTAGTTCTCAAAGAGCGCAATGTTAGGGGCCAGAGATATTGCGGGTTATGGTAAATTCTAACTATCTTGTATGGTGATAAGGACTACACTGTACGCAGGGGAACATTATCTTAGTTATTCATGCAGATCCCTCTATGTGAGGCCTGGAAACTGCACTGTCGCCCCTACATCGAAAGCCAGGAGCCCAAACCCTAAAAGAACAAAACTCCTGGATCCTTACGTAATAATAGTTCACATGTAACGAAGCCTGCGGCTTAAGTCATGGGCCTGGCGAGCTGTTTCGTGACAGAAATCGCTTCAAAGGCGGGTTTCCCAAAATAGGGGACCCTAATATAGTACCCTAAATGGTAGGATCCTTATAAAAAGTACCCCAAAATAAGGTACCCCTTATTTTCGGAAACTCCCATATTGTCAGACAGAGAACTGGAAACAAGCAGAGATTGATGACACGCATGTCCGACTATGAATGACCGCATGTTTGCATGCCTACCTATCTGTACACCTCTTTCCCGGCACATACAGGCAGACAGACAGACAGACAGACAGACAGAGAGTCAGAGAGAAAGAGAGACAGAGAGACAGAAGACAGACTGACCGACCGACCGACCAGACACAAACACACACGTACATGCACACACACACACATGCATACATACACAAACATACAAGCACCGATACCGACACCGACTGCACAGCCCTCGACTCCCTTTGTTGAACTCAGTGCCTGACTATCGCAAACTCAATGCGTTGCAGGCCCTACCAGCTGTCCGAAGTCATCCGAAGCGCTCGAAGTGCACGAGGTACCTGCTCTTTCTTTCAAGGGGCTCAGATCTGCAAGAATAGCCTAGTGGACTCCGTTTTCCAGCGTCTTGGCTTGGTAGAAAATTGATTTGCTCTGAGAGTCCGAAGAAAGGAACATGCCAGCAGCGAAACTATCGCCACATGTGAGGCACTAGCCATTCGAGTCCTTCTTGCAGTCAGCTCCCGCTTCGCTGCAGTACCCCTAAGGTAGCCCATGAGCTCCCCTTCAAAAGCTATCGAAACATCAAGACATGGAGGTTCTGAAGACCGGAACCCGGTGTTCCTCGAAACCTTTGATTCGGACAAAACATGATCCTGCACACATGACTCGGCATACATATACATATACATACATATATGTATATATATGTACACACGCACACGAACGTCATGTACATACGCAATGCATATCTTGAGTTCTTTAGCTTGTGCCTTGCATGTCCATCTGTATGTATGTCTACATATGTGTCTGTTCCCACAGCATTGTACATGTTTTGCAGGCTATGGGGTTCCAACGTGTCAGTGTAAAGAGAGGTGGTCAATATTCGGGCAATGTTTTCTGGGACATGGCTCCCACTGTAGTGCAAAGCCACGCGGATTGGGACTTGACGTCGCGAAAGCTCAGATCTAATTACACCCGAAGCCCTACACCCCAAGCATGCCCAAACCACAGAGAATCCCATTCCACGCCCGAAGCCGGCGAGCCCTCACAGGAAAGCCCGATCTTTGCCGGGGCACTGCTGGAGGTTCTTCTGATCTGGGTTCCGTTCCAGAGCTTCCTTCGCAATGCGCTGGCCTCGAAAATGCTGGCCGGCAGCTCTACGATCGTGTTTACATCAGGGTTCTGCAAAGGGTCTTCAACGACCTACACCCTCAACCCTGAGCCTTCGATCTCTACGGGTTTTGCAAGTACTGTTGATGATGGAAATCCTGCGGTACTTTAAGGACCCTAGACTATGGGAACTATGGTATATCCCTTATTATTATGGGTAATGCAGGATTTATATCATCAGCCGTAGTATTCGGGCCCTTCGGGCTAAACTGGAGAGTCTGTTGAGCAAGTCCAGGACGAACCTGCGGCCCTTTCACAAAGCTTAGCCTAAACTCAGTCTATAGGGTTTAGGATTGAAGCTTAGGCTTTATATGGTTCGGGGTTTAGGATTGAAATTTAGGGTGTAGGGTTTAGGACTGAAATTTAGGATTAGGATTGAAATTTAGGGTTTAGGGTTTAGGACTGACATTTAGGGTTTAGGGTTTAGGATTGAAAGTTAGGGTGTAGGGTTTAGGATTGAAGTTTAGGGTTTAGGGCTTGGGGTTTTGGGGTTTAAGGCCAGCTGGGACCATCTGAGCTGAGGAAATTCGGACTACAGATCGAGTCGGTTTAGGGTTTAGGGTTTAGGCCTTAGGGAAGTTTAGGGTTTAGGTTTAGGCTTTGGGGTTTAGGGTTTAGGGCAGCCTTGTCAGGACAAAACCCAATCTGAGCGAAGTTGTTCCATTCGCGGATCCTTTCTAGAGGTTCGTTGAAGAGTACGACAACCTGAACTTAAGCTTCTCGGGGCCGCTTCGGACAAGAAAGCCGCTTGGAGCCACACCAAACCACATGTTCTTACCTCCCTAGATTCAGCACACAAACAGATAATAGTTGAACCGCAGGCCAAGGAACACCCGGTCTAAGGGGAGCACGCCCTGAATCCCAAGACCCTAAACCCCTAACCCCTAAACCCTAAACTCCTACAAACCCTAAACCCCTTAACCCTAAACCCTAAACCCTAAATCCCAAGACCCTAAGCCCTGAACCCTGCTCCAAGGTCCGGACACCCAGCCTGCAGGTCATGGACCAGTCCGTCATTGCCTAGACTGTTCAGCAACGCACGGGGGACCAGTATATCCTTATTTAGGTTCGTCATGTTATAGTAGGAACCCACAAACCAAACTCAAAAGGTATATCACTGAACAACCTCGCCCCGTTGCCACAGACGTAGACGTGGAGACTTTTGTCGGGCCGGGCCCGACCAATGGCTGCGATATCTCGCAGAAAGTTGGGCCTCGCCGTGATGCTAGGGCTTAAGGTTACTCCCTGGGTTGCACTTAGCCGAGACTTAGCCCTAACCCCTAAGCCCCAAACCTCACACACTAAACCCCACAGCCTTAATCCTGGAGCCTACCCCCTAAACGCCTAAGGGAACCCTTAAAGGATCCCTTAAGGGAATCAATCTTCGGTCCAAAAGAGTCTTGGGGTTTAGGGCTCGAAAACACAATGCTCAGGTCTCCTTTATTCGGGTTTAGGGGTGTAGGGGTTCATGCAAGCAGGGGTTTTGAGGGGTTAGGGTTTAGGGGCCTAGGGTTTGGGGATGATTCCGTGAAAAAGGTCGGCTTTGGGGGTGAAGGTCGGGTCTGGGCCTCTAGCCCCAAAACCCTGCATTTAGGGCTTAGGAAGTCAAGCGCGAGACTCAGGTTACTGAGGAGTCCTGCCGATGTTCACCGGCATCATGATCTTCTCCGAAGCTTTCTCGGCGTCACTCTGCTGAGAGGTATACAGCTCCGAACCTGCGGCAGAATTGATCTAAGTGGGTGATATGAGAGTTTTAGAGAGCAGGGTCTCAACGGCATTTATCAGGTGTGACATTGGTCTAGCCTATGAAGAGAGATGTATGGCTCTAGCCCAGTTTTGCCGCAAACCGGCTATAGGTCCTAGGTGTAGACCTGTTGATGTTTCATGACTTTAGTAGTCTTGGCGGCAGTGGTAGTTGTAGCGGCGGTGGCCGTGGTCGTGGTCGTGGTCGTGGTCGTGGTCGTGGTCGTGGTCGTGGTCGTGGTCGTGGTCGTGGTCGTCGTGGTCGTGGTCGTGGTCG